CTTTAATGAGTATTTGCTAGGGAACACTGCACTTCACCAAAGTGCTCTATTTCAATGATTGCAATCTATTTTTCACACAAACCTTTAAGGTAAGTATCATCACACTCATCTTAGCGAGGAGGACACTGAGACACGATAGGTGACATCCCTGGGCCAGGTTCACAGGCCAGGGCCCAGCAGGCTAGCGGGTCTAGCATCCCTGGTGGGAGCCAGGCCTTGGCACTAGCCAGTCACCGTTCGCACTGCCACAGTCCCCCGCACTGAGGGGAGGACGAAGCCCAGCCCCTGGATTCAGGCACCAAGTCCCAGCCCGAATGGAGGCCCCGAAAGGGTGGCGACGGGAGAGGGGGCCAAACCTGTGAGCTGCAGGATCTGGTCGTCAAAGTGCGTCACCGCCTCGTCGTGCATGACCTGGCCTCCGCTCACAAACTCCAGGCGTCCGTGGGCCAGCAGCTCGCGGACCTGGCGTGGGGGCACAGAGAAAAGGCCGGTACAGCCTCAGAGCGTGGCGGCTCTGCGGGGACATGTGCCAGCGTCTCGCGGTGTCTCCCCTAAAACTCCCACCTTCATTCCTTCTGCAGGGGCAGGACCCTGTCCCGCTCAGCACAGCACCCCTCCACCCAGAGCAGCACCTGGCCTGTGGCTGCTGTGGGTTATAGCTTTTAAAATTTCTTACTTTTTAAAAAATATATATATTATTGATTTCAGAAAGGAAGGCAGAGGGAGCGATAAAAAGATCCATGATGAGAGAGAATCATTCACCAGCTGCCTCCTGCACGCCCCCTACTGGGGACCAAGCGGGTACGCGGGCATGTGCCCTGACCGGGAATCGAACCGTGACCTCCTGGTTCACAGGTCGACACTCAACCACTGAGCCACACTGGCCAGGCTAAATTTTTACTTTTGAAACAATCTCAAAGTTAGAGAAAATGTGCAAGAATTGTGCAAAGAGCTCCGTGGGTCCCCAGGCTGGAGTCTTCGAGGCTCACTTTACCCAGTTTCCTTCACGCTCCCCCATGTTTTTCTGTACAGTGTGTGTTCCTAAACCATTTGAAAGTGTAAGTTAGCAAGGGCATGCCTTCTACCCGCAGTTCAGTTAGCGTCCGGGAAGAAAAGGATCATTTTAATCAGCCTAATGATCTAGATCAGGAGATTCACCCTCGCACACCGCTAGCTAAGCTCCAGACTTCCCCCACAGTTTGCCGAGAGCTCCCCGAACACCTCCTCCGGGGGCGGCTGTGAGCTGTCGTCGCCCGCGACCTTCCCTCTGGGACAGCTCCTCGCCGGCCTGGCCTTCACGGGAGGGACCGTTTTGGAGATCACAGGTTAGTCATTTGGAGACAGTCCTGCAGTTTGGGTTTTTCTCATGACATGCTAAAGCATGTGTCTTTTCAGAAGACATTCATCTCATCCATGTCTTCCAACATGCTTCTAATGCAGTGGTTCTCAACTTCCTAATGTCGCAACCCTTTCAGACAGTTCCTCATGTTGTGGTGACCCCCAATTTCATTGTTACAAATTGAACATAATGAAAGCATAGTGATTAATCACAAAAACAATATGTAATTATATATGTGTTTTCTGATGGTCTTAGGCGACCCCTGTGAAAGGGTCGTTCGACCCCCAAATGGGTCGCGACCCACAGGTTGAGAACCGCTGTTCTAATGTTTTTGAAATATCGGAAGAATAGTAGGTATCTTAAGTGAACGAATGGGAGAATGGAACATAACTAATGGCCAGAGAAGGTGGGCCATGTCGCCACCCTGCTGTTTACAGACTGTCTCTTCTATTTGCTTTATGAAGGCGCAGTATTTATACTGCATTCACTCAGCAAATAAGGAATGAGCCCCTACTCGGTGCTGTTTCAGGTGACCACCTACTACACGCCAGGCCCTGTTCAGGCTCTGCGGGTCCAGCCATGAAGCAAACAGACAAAAACCCCTGCTGCCAGCACGCAGGGCCGTTGAGTTCCCTGCCCGGGTGTTCATTGGGACCCTCCGCTCCCCGGCGGGGAAGTGGGGATAGGAGACAGACAACTGGGTTTGGGGTGTCCATGGGAGAAAGTGCGGACCGCCCACCGGACACCTGGAGAGACGTACTTTGTCAGACATGCACGGCTCAGAATCCCTCCTGTCACATATGAGCTGTGACCACAGGACCGTCCCCTGCCCAGGGGGTCACATCCCCAGCTCCGTAAAGGGGGGTCACTAGCCCCCCCATACAGCCAGTAGGGAGGGTCAATGAAGAAATGTGTAAAAAGCAGGAGCCCAGCCCAGCTGGCTCAGTGGTTGAGCGTCGACTTATGAACCAGGGGGTCACAGTTAGATTCCCGGTCAGGGCACAAGCGGGCTCGATCCCCAGTGGAGGGCGTGCAAGAGGCAGCGATTGATGATTCTCTCTCATCATTGATGTTTCTCTCTCTCTCTCTTCTTCCCCCTTATGCAAAGAAACCATTACAATATTCATTTTTTTAAAGCAGGAGCCCAGCGCTGGCCACGGCCCCATCGAATGGAGGCTCCTCCTCGTGACTCCGCAGGGGTCCTCAGACTACGGCCCGCGGGCCACATGCAAATACCAATATTGTATTTGTTCCCGTTTTTTTACTTCAAAGTAAGATATGTGCAGTGTGCATAGGAATTTGTTCATAGTTTTTTTTAAAACTATAGTCCGGCTCTCCAACGGTCTGAGGGACAGTGAACTGGCCCCGTTTAAAAAGTTTGAGGACCCCTGCTCCACAGCTTCAGCTTCAGACACCCCTCCAGGGGGCCCCGGAGCTTCCTGATCAGCCTTCTTAGCTTCGCACCGCTTCTAAAGCACGGGGACCGTTGCACCTGGTCGGGGTGCCCAGGTCCCGGCCATGGCCGCGCACACTCAGAAATGAAGGCCGCAGGGGTGGGCACAGGGCCACCCCAGGAGGCCGTGCAGGGGCCCACTCGGCAGGGCTCAGTGCCCGGCGGGGCAGCGGGGCTGCGGTTTCATGAGGGGCCAGGAGGCCAGGTCTGTGCAGCTGCCTGGAGGGACCGCCGACCGCACCACATCTCAGCAGCCCTGTGCCAGCCCAGGGGCCGCCCAGCCCTGCCCCGCGCCACCGTCACCTGGAGCTTCTGGGTCCTGGAGGCGAACCGGTCCCACCACAGCCGGAAGTACTCCTGCTCCACGGCGATGAAGCGCCGGTGCTCCCCGCGGGTCAGCTCCCGCACCACCGAGGTGTACACGCTGGCGGCGTAGATCCGCATGTTCTCCTGGTGGGGGGGGGGGGGGGGATGCTCCCGCTGCCTCCCCTCTGCTCTCACCAAGGCCCTACCCACTGCCCGGACACAGGGAGGCTGGGACGCAGCACAGACATGCTCACCAGCTCGGTGAGAACACGCTGTCCCAGAGAGGCGAGGGGTTGGACCATGACCCGCCCCGGGCAGTGCCCGGAGGGGCCAGCGGCCCGAGCCAGGAGAGGAACTAGGTCCCAGGGCCCTCCGGGGCCTCCTGGGCTCAAATGCAGGGAAGGCTGTGTGGGGAGCAGTCCCTGAGGTCACCTGCCTCCCTCCCCCCAGGTGGGGGCTCTCGGGGGTGACCTGGCTGCTTCCCATCAGGGGCTCTGGGTGCACGCAGTATGCCCAGGGCTGCTGGGCACCAGGCTGGCAAAGAGTACTGGGCAGCGAGTCAGCAGGCTGGAGGGTTATTCTGAGTGACCGGGGACCTTCTCTGGCCTGTTTCCTCTTCTATAAAAGGGGTGACATGCATGCTCCCCCTCCCCAAGCCATCTCCATCTGCAGGAGTCGTCACCCCCAGGGGGTCCCAATGTGCCCCCGACCAGACTAAACCCTGCCCGTGTCCCTGTTACACGAATGTCCTTCGCGAAGTGACGGGTCCCACCACAGCGGCCCTTGCTCATTTGTGTAGGCGTTTCCTCCCTCGTTCATAAGAGCGAGAGGCGCCGGGAACAAGGAAATCGGGGACTTCCACGCCTTTTCTCTGTGCCAAGTCACTCATTCAGCGATTCTCCGTGTCCGTCAGCACACAGAGAACGTTCGGAATAAAGGGGTGCAGCCACCGCCCCCCCCGCAGCTGTGGGCTCCTCTCTGGTGGGAAGCAGGCCCTCACAGGCAGAGGGTGGGAGGGAACAGACTTCAGAGCCACTGCCTGCCAGGCCTCACCAGGCCAGTGACCCCCCAGGGGGGCGCCCTGGGAGTTAGGGACCGAGTCTCGCCAGTATCTGGCAGGAAGAGGGAGAACCGGTGCCAAGTCTGAGGCCTGCACCCCCTGCGGGAGGGGGACGGGCCCAGAGCAGCCCCCAGAGCAGGGCTGACCACGGCCTGGCTCCAGAAAACGCACCTTCCTCCGGCCTTGGCTGCCTGTCGCTGGGGGGAAGCTGGGTTCAGAGGCAGGAAGTGATCGGCTCAAGGTCAGCCGCCCAGTCACCCGGCCAGGGCACACCCGGAAGCAGGCTTGCCCCCACGCTGGCGCTG